AAATTAAAAAATTTTAAAGGTAAACCCCCCCTTTATTAATTTAAAAGGGTTTAAGGGGGTATAACCCCCCCGGGTTCCTGGAAACCATTTAAAATTCCCCCGGGGAACGGGGAAAAAAATTTCCCCCCTTTTTTGGAAAATTTTTGGAAAATTCCTTCGGGGGGATTCCCCGGGGAATTTTTTTTTTCCCCCCCCCCCCCCCCAAAACAAAAAAACCCCCCCTTGGAAGGTTTGGGATTTTTTTTCCCAAATGTGGGAAAGTTTCCCGATTTTATTTGGGGGCGGTTTGGGTTCACTTCCCTTAGAAAATTTCCCCCCTGGAAACTTTTTTTTTTCAAAATAAATTTCCCCCCCCCCCCCCCCCCCCCCCCCATATTTAAAACATGCATAAATCATTTTATTTTAAGTGGTTATAATTTAGGGTATTTGCCCTCTAGCCAATCACATCAACATACTCCATAACCACTTCATAACCTAATGTGATTAGGAGTTTCAAGAAAGTTGGGCAAATTACTGTCACCCAGGTATGCTCAAATTACGAAAAACCCCTCATATTTGTGTAATGACAATACCCCATCAACTAGGCATTATCTTACACTTGTACTTTTACGGTGTCGAATTTACCTACTGAATGTGAGATTTTTTTTCGTAAGACGAATAGATGATACATAAATGAGGAGATGAAGATACATATTATAAACTAGTCATTCTTTGAATCTTAAATTCATCATTTAATTGTTGTCTGCTAAAATTAAAAATATGTATATATATCATAGATTTTTCTTTTTTTGCTTATATTTTCAATAATATGTTTTTATAGCAATCCGGTATATAATACATCATACATGAGTTCTAAATGCAATAAATTCCTTATTTCATACGTATTGTTATTTATTAATTTTTATTTTTAATTTTGATATGATAGACTCGAAATTCTGTTAGACAGAAGTGATAAATAAACCCCAAAGAAAGGAGAATTACAAGGGAAATTAATTAAGATAAGATTGAACAATTTCAGGGATGGAAGAACATAACAGAAGATAAGGACATCCAAAATAAAATTTAAAAAATCAAATCTTTATTAAAAAAAAAAAAAATCAAATCTTTATAAATTTATAACCACCCAATATTTCCGAGGCACACCACAAAAGCAGCAACCCTCATAATTAGTTTTTACCATATTTTTTTTGTTCTTGACTTTATCAGCAAAACACCCAATCTCTGTATATCTCTGCACACACATTCTCACACACTCACGGTTTTTTTTTTTTCAGTCACCGCCATTTTTGGCACATCTTTTTTCTTGGTAGCCAAAAAAAAAAAAAAAAAAAAAACATGGCGGCAACCTGTGGCAGTTTTGATCACATATTCGACAAACCCTTGTCGGAATCTCCAACGTTTCTCGAATGCCTCTCGCCATGGAAACACATTAAAAAATCCATCGACAATACGCCCCCGTCGTTTACGGAGTTATTTGGCGAATTACATTTCAAAGACAACCACGCCGATGATAATAATCATAATAATAATAATTCGCCAACGAAAATATCGAACGGCTCAAAATCATTACCACCGTCATCGATCAAGAATAAGAAGGACTACCGACACAGCGAGAGCTTTTCGTCGATGAATTCGGAGAGTTTGTCGATGTGCACGGAAGGGTTAGGGTTTGAGAGCTTCGACGAGGCCGACGGTTTGTGTAACGACGAGGCGGGGAGGAAGAATCAAGTGAGGAGGAGGATGAGTATCTTGGGGATAAAGATAGATGAGAATAATTATCATAGATATTCCATTATTACAGGGGAGACTCCGCCGCCGCTTTCGTGTATCGGGAGGAGCGCCGGGAAGCCATGGTTGTGCTTCATATCTTACAGGGAAGGTGGGAGGCTTATTATGAAGGAGGTGAGAATTCCGATGCAGGAGTCGTTCTTGCATGCATGCCGTGAAAATGGACGTTTGAAAATGCAGTTTATTCATTCAGACGAAGAGGAGGAAGAAGAAGAAGAGAATCAAGATAGAATATTCAAGAATATTGAACATGAAGATGAATTGTAATTGATCAAGGGAGGAATTCTTTTTTGTTAGTGTTAATTAATTAGCATAACTTGTGTTTTTTAAAGATGTAATTTTTATTGAATTGTGTGGCTTTTGCCTTACTTATCTTCATTTTCTTGACATCTTGATTTGCTTCAATTTTGAAATGTTAGATTTTATTTGGGATTTGGAACAAAGGATATTAATTAACAATCTTAGTTTAGAGTGCCGGAATCGGCATAGAACGTTGCATGAAATGTAGTATTTTGACAGTTTGCACATTCGAAAAAGAATTAATAGCACTTTGCACTGGCGAAACTCACAAAATCATTCACGCTGCACCATCAATTGATTTTTTTTTAAATCTACCCTAATTATGAGAATACAAAATGCGAAAAAATAAAAATCACTCCGAGTAACTTAATGGCTATATTTTCTCAAAATAAAAAAATAAATTTTTCTGACTAAATTATTCGATTGATGGATCTTTTATTGCAATTGGTAGAAATCTTTGTAAAAAAATATAATTTTAACTTAATAACAAAATAGCTGATATATATATTTTTTTTAAAAATATATTGGTGGGATGCATTTTATTTTGCATTTTGTAGCTGAAATTTCGTTTGAAGGGTTGATGAATATAATTTTTTTTTGATTTAACATTTAGCATCGTAAGAAAGTACTACTAAAAATGGTAAATTCGCTGCATTAGCTTAAAAATTTAATTCTAGGTTTCATTGTGTTTGTGTATAATATACTGTGTGTTCGAGGGAGTAAAATGCTATTAATTTTTTTAAGGGTTCAAAATGACAAAAAACTATATTTCGGAGGGTGCAAATAAAAACAAAAAAAAGTAGCTGTTATTTGTGGTCCAGAACAGAATCTTGGAGCCATTGTTGTCTTCCTTAGGAAAAACTAAAAGGCATAAAGTGTTTTTGACAAACCAAATTTTTATTTAGATTTCCTCCAAATCTCATGACAAGTATCTATTCATATATAGGACAATATATTTAAATTATAATAGTCATATAAATATATTATTTGATTTAATTTATTGAGGCTAAAATAATTGTGTGGCCACACAACTTCCAAGTAGATGAAGGTTTATTCACCCATTATTGGCTTTTCACTAGTAACAAATATATATATTCAAACACCTATTTAATATTATTTAAATATTAAATTCTTTTTTTCGCAAAGCGAAGATTTTTTTTAGACACTAAAAAAAATATTTAAAAGATTATTGATCAATTATAATGATGAATATCATTTTCCAGACAACTGTATTTTATGCCACGGTGACAGAAATCAAACAAGTTATCACATTCACGGACAAGAATCAATCAATTTTGGGCCCATAATATATACATTTTGAAACTGGATTTTGGTAATTAAAAAAGTAAAAATATACATATCTATATATATATGTTTTATTTTTCCAACGAAAAACAAATAATCAACTAGGAAAAGGATATTTGGTCAACGGACACCTGCACAACTTATTTCAGCGTCGACATCTT